TTAATCCGTGTGAAAAACGAAACAAACATATATAATTATGTTTATTCCGTATTTACCTAAATAAAGCCTTCAGAGGACTTGAAAGCATCTTCTTTCAATTATGTTTTCAAAATATCTGTTACTCCTCGCCTCATAAGCTCAAAAAGTAAACGCAACGTGGTAAGCCACGTAGACAGAAAGTCAACAAAGATGTTAAATAAAGACCCATGAGGCCAAAACATGAGGAAATCAAACAAAGCTCATGTCCCTACCGAGGCACTGCTTCAAGGTCGAAGCACTACAACTTGGGACGAGACACTGCTTAAGGAAACAAATAAAGGAGCTGAAACTTTCCACTTAGAGAACCACCTCAAAGATTTCTCCAAGGCTCTCAACCGATCCGAGGCTCGTAAGGTCGACGTTGTTTCCTTGTAAAAGATTTGAAGATCTCTCTGAAGTGATTGATGTAACGCTTGTAATAAAGTTGTCGGTGTGTCAGCCTATTGTATAGGGCGGCTGACCAATTATCAATGTATTAATTGTATGAATAGACAGTGATGTGATGCCCCAATTTGGGAGATAAGGCCACGTGGTTATGATCCAACGGACACGACGTTCGGCTGATATAGTATAAATAGGTCATCTTTGTAATTAAAAATGGAGGGGTGGGATTATTAATAGAGATATGTACAATTATATGTTCAAAAGATATGCTAGAACATTGGAGAATTTCATACGAACACTGTATTGAAGATTCCTTTGGCGTTCAAACGTGAACTCCAACATATAATATAGCAACTTCTATATGCATTTTTATCTATTCTTCCAAATATTCCTACCTTGTTATTACATAGATTAGTTTGGTTTCCGTCTGGCAATCGTTGTTAGCGCGGTTGCTTTTGTTCCACCCACCGGAACTTGAACATTTTTATCTCTCGCCGCAAAGTACCTTCCGCGTCCATTTCCTCATTGCTATCGTCATCATTTTGGTACAAACGCGCTAGAATCGTACTTGACTTCACGTGAGTGGACCCGACATCTATTGATTCATTTTTTGGGTCAACAATATCTATCTTATTTGTATGTGCTGGAGGATATCATATCTTAATTTCCACCTAACTGTTACTTCATATATGTAAGATTGGTCGTGCTTAATGTTGCGTTTTTTTTATATCGCAAGTGTACGATATCGTAACAAGTAGTAAATTAGACATTTGAGTCTGGATTATCATTTCCACGAGGACTATTCTTTAGCACTGAATTTAATTTTTCTAACTCTTATTTGATATAAATAAATAAAATTACGGATTTGTTGAGACTATTTAATTTAAAAAACGAGAAATTAAATTGAATAGAAAATAAACACAATT